TCACATTTAAAACTAGAGGTGACTGAGTTATATTAAACTGACTGGTTTAAATTTTCTGCCAGGTGGAAAAATGGGATTCATGAGTTAATTTGAGTTATAGTAAAATAAAAGTTCTGAAGCTTCATATCTGACTTTTGGGACAATGTTATTTACACCTGCTGTAGGAGTTTAGAAGAGCTGAGGCAGACTTCAACAGTGCTCCTTTAAAAAGGAGCAACATTTAAAGGTCCATGGGGAAAGATCTTGGATCAGAGAAGATCCATGTCAGCAAGACTGGAAACTAAAGAGGAAGACTGAAAGTGAGAAGGAAAAATGGAATGGAAGAACCAACACCCATCTTGTGCTTCCCTCCCCACATGCACACACATTAATGGTGCAACCAGGGAAATTTGGAAGGAGATATATGTAAACTGAGGAATTTAGTCATTAAATGCTATGCAATGCAATGTGATCCTCCCTGTGTTTCAACAAATGCTCAGTAAAACTCCAAACAAAACAGTAAACAAAAATGTCTGGTACAATTGGAATTGTTGTGAAAGCCAGTGAAAGAATCAAGTCTTGTGTCAAGGTTTGTGGGAGGCCAAAATATGGTCACACTGTACAAACAGGGTGTGTAGTCAATAAGTGAGCTTTAAAAAGTTAATTATATGTGATGGAGTTTAATATAGAAATTGTCTCAAATGACTTTGTACCTCTCTGAACCACAGCTCCCTAATCTGTAAAATGAAGACGAAGATATCTACCTTGTAAAGTTGCTCAAAGAATTAGAGATAATATATTTAAAGTACCTAGGATAGTGTCTGGCACAGCAACCCCTTAAAAGATAGTGGCAATTACAATATTATTATTAATGCATCTAATTGCATTTAGCTTTTAAAATCAATATGTATTTAAAATTAGACATTATTCTACCATTTAAAACTCTGCCCAACTTACATGATATAAAAAACCTAGTTTAAATCTGCCTTTATCAATGTCTTAATCGGCATTCTGTGTATACATTTTTAATGAACTATGAATTTACCTATTGATTACATCAAAGAAAAAATCATCTTTTTCACCCAACAATTATAAAGATATCAGAATATATATTTTATTACTTAAATAATCTTTATTGAGGATATAAGTTTAGACGAGTTTATTTAGCTACAGCCACACAGACCTCTTCCTTGTTCAAACATATCTAGACTTTTATGATTAAATCTTCTTGAAGATTTCTTTCAGCCCTCTGAGCAGAAGCAAGAGTTCCTTCCTTTGCATGTCCATGACATTTTGTTCATTGTTTTTAACGGCATTTATCATCTAATACCTGGAACTTGTGTGTCACTTCTTTCAAAGAATACATCCATTTCTTATTTATCTTTATTTGCTCTGCTAGTGTCTTGTATATAGTAGACCTACTCAGCATACATTTTATTTAACAATTTTCTATTAATTTCTCATTCACATACTCAAAGAAATGGTGCAAATAAACTGATATCAAGATTTTAAAAAAACAACTTTGCTTTATCCTAAACCTCAGAATATTAGTTTGAAAGCCTATAGCCCCAGTTAGTTACTAGAGAAACACAAAACAAAACCACAATGTGCTGCTATTTCACACCCAGTAGGATATCTAGAATTAGAAAGTGAGATAATAACAAGTGTTGCTGAAGATGTGGAAAAATCGGAACCCTCTTACACTACTGGTGAGAATGTAAAATGGTGCAGTTATTTTGAAAAAAAGTCTGAGCATTAAACACCGAGTTACCACATGACCTATCAATTCCGTTCCCAGGTATATACCTAAGAGAAATGAAAACATATGCCCACTCAAATACAAATGTTTATAGCAACATTATTCATAATAGCCAAAAGATAGAAACAACCCAAATGTCTATCAACTGATGAGTAGATAAACTGTGGCTGATGTATCTGTACAACATAATATTACTGACACACAAAAAGGAACAAAGTACTGGTACATGCTGTAACATGTATGAACCTTTAAAACATTAAGCTAAATGAAAGAAGCCAGTCTCTAAAGACCACGTATTGTATGATTCCATTCATACAAAATGACATGAACAGAGAAATCTATAGAGACAGAAAGTAGATTAGTCATTGCTAGAGGCTGGGAGTGAGGGATACTGAGAGGGGAAAGAGGGTGATAGCTAAAGGGTATGAGGTTTCTTTTTGGGGTGATGAAAATATTCTAAAATTGGCTGTGTTGATGGTTTCATAACTGTGAATATATTACAACCATTGAATTGTACACTTTAAATGAGTGAATTGTATGGTATGTCAACTATATCTCAATAAAGTTGATGAAACAAACAAACCCTGAGGATATTAGTTTGAAAGCCTGCAATTTGTACCAAACAACTGCTTCTTGTATAATACAAATGAAACAGTGTAGTAAACTATACTTAAATATCTAAAAATATGGCCCTAGTCACTTTGTTGGATTTATTATTCAATTTAACTTGTTTACTTGCTGTTACCTAAATTTTATTCTCTTACTTTTTTTTTTTAACTATATGGGTTACTCATCATCTCAGAAATCAGTGTCATTAAAATGTCTGTTGGTTAGCAATAGAAAATGGCATACTCTTATTACAGAAAGGAGTCAGAAGCTGGTACCACTGCTTATGGCTATGCAGGCTATGTGCTGCACAACTCCAGGGGGTGTCATTTACACGGACTTCAATGTGAATGGTGCCTCCTAGAACTGGGTAACACAGTAGCCTTGATCAATTCTTCTTTGGTGTCATTGCCATCCTCTAATTTATTTAGTGATGGAGTTTGGATGTGTTGTCCCCAGCAAAACTCATGTGGAAATTTGATCCCCAGTGTGGCAGTGTTGGAAACTGATTGAGTCATGTGGGTGGATCCTTCATGAAGGAAATAATGCTCTCCCTGGGGGAGGGGGAATTAATGAGTGAGTTCTTGCTCTATTAGTTCCCGTGAGAGCTGGTTGTTTAAAAGGCCCTGGCACCTCTCCTCTCTCTCTCTCTTGCTTCCTCTCACCATGTGATCTACCTGTACCCACTTGCTTCCTGCTGCTTTCTGCCATGAGTAGAAGCAGCCTAAGGCCTATGCCAGATGCAGCTGTCCCAGAATTGTAAGCCAAATAAACCTCTGTTCTTTATAAATTACCCAGTCTCAGGTATTTCTGTTATAGCAACACAAAACTGGCTAATACATTTAGGGTCAAGTTTGACTTCTCTCTTATCCTCACATCCACTCCCCAATATATTGATTGGCCTATTACTTCTACTGATGAGTCTCCCAAATCCATTCTTGCTGCCATTGCCTAGCTTTGTCATTCATTTTCCTTTTCTACATTATTGCACTAGCCTCCCAACTGATCTTTCTGCCTCTCATTTTCTCTATATATCTTTTATACCACCACCAGAATTTTCTTCTAAAGATACAATTATGCCTTTCCCTGTACAAAATCTCCCAATGCTTCCAGTTACCTAAAATGTCCCAAAATCCTTAGCCTGCCATTAAAAGCCTCTTAGGACCTCTGCAACCCACTTTACAAAACTCACATTTGACCAGTTCTTCCCCATGTTCCATACTACAGCCACACAGGTATATTCTGTTCCTCAAACCCATCAATGCATGTTGATGCCTCCACAACTTAGATCATGTTGTCACTCTTTTTATAATGCCCTTTCCATTCATTTCTATCTGCTTAGTTCTTTTTATTTATTTATTTTAATTGACACATTGTATTTGTACATGATTATGGGGTACAATCTGATGTTTTGATACATATATATGTTATATAATAATCAGTTAAGGGTAGTTAATGTATCTATCACCTCATGCATTTATTATTTTTTTTGTAGCAAAAACATCCAAAAGCCTTTCCTCTAGATATTATGTATTATGCAAAACTTAACTGTTAATTGCTGCTGTGCAATAGAACATTAGGAATTATTTCTCCTATCTAATCATGATTTTGTACTAATTGGCCAAATTCCCCCTGTTTTCCCTTCCCCTCCTCTCCTCCTCAGTCTCTGTTAACCACTGTTCTACTCTCTCTGTCGGTATAGTATCATTTTTTTTTCATTTACATATCAGTGAGATCATGTTGTCTTTGCCTTTCTGTGCCTGGCTTACTTTACTTAACATAATGACCTCCAAGTCCATCCCTGTTGCTGCAAATGACAGGATTTCATTCTTTTTCATGGCTGAATATTATTCTATTGTGTATATATACCACATTATTTTAATCCATTTATCTGTTGTTGGACACTTAGGTTGATTCTATATCTTGGCTATTGTAAATAGTTCTATAATAAACATGGGAGTCTAGCTAAGGGTTTGTCAATTTTGTTTATCTCTCAACAAACCATCTCTTCATTTCACTGATCTTTTCAATTATTTTTTGGTTTCGATTTCATTCATTTCTGCTCTGATCATCATTCTTTCTTTCCTTCTGCCAATTTTGGGTTTAGTTTGTTTTTGTTTTTCTAGTTCCTTTAGGTGCCTTATTAGGTTGTTTATTTATTAAAAGTCTATTTTCTTTTTTGACATAGGCATTTATTGCTATAGACTTTCCTCTTAGAACTTATTTTGCTGTATCCCATAGATTTTGATGATATGTTGTTTCTATTCTTGAATGTCTCAAGGAATTTTTAAATTTCCCTTTTAATTTATTTATTAATTCATTGGCTGTTTAATTTCCATGTATTTGTAAAGTTTCCAAAGTTTTTCTTGTTGTTGATTTCTGTTTTTATACCATTGTGGTCAGAAAAGATACTTGATATGATCTCCATCATATTAAATTTGTGTTGACGTGTTTTGTGACCTAACATATGATTTATCCTGGAGAATGTTCCATGTACAGTTGAGAAGAATGTGTATTCTGCAGCTGTTTGATGGAATGTTCTGTTAAGGTCCATTTGGGCTATGGTGCAGTTTAAGTCAGATGTTTCTTTATTTTCTTTCTTGATGATCTGTCCATTGTTGAAAGTGGGATGTTAAAAGTCTACTATTATTACGTCAGCCGGGTGCATTGTGGCCGTTGCCCGGGGGGAGGTGGTCGCGGCGCCCCGCACTCGGCGGTTGTTAGGGTGCCGCTCGCCGCTGGTCGTTACAGCGAGGAGCTGGTGGCGCTCAGGCTGCACCCGGGGTTGGTGAGCAGCCACCATGTCGATCTTCACCCCCACGAACCAGATCCGCCTCACCAATGTGGCGGTGGTACGCATGAAGCGCGCCGGGAAGCGCTTCGAAATCGCCTGCTACAAAAACAAGGTCGTCGGCTGGCGGAGTGGCGTGTGAGTGACCCTGGCCGGGGCCGGTAGCCTCCGGGCGGTCTTCCTCCAGTCAGGTCGAGTGGATGGGCCAAGCGGGGTCTTGTCGGGGAAGGAATTGGAAAACTTACTCCGGGTGTGAGCTGAGACGTTGCTGTCCTTCCCGAGCTTGACGCTTAAACCCAGGGTTCCTTTTTTGTTGGGTTGGTTCAGATTGGGTTGTTGGTTTGGGGGGTTGGTTGATTGGTATCATAAAAGCTACAGCCAAGAATCCCCGTAATTATGGTCCTTTTCCTAGAGTAATGATGAAGGCTAGGAGCCTAGTCTTCCATATACCATGGAGGTATAGTAAGAACGTCTGATGTCACGGGCCTCAGTTACCCAATAGTTTGCCCGAAGTGCGTAGTGTCCTCACTACTGCCATCTAGGGACCGGCATTCCGTGACAGCAGCCTTTCTCACCCCGTCTCACCCCACCCCCGTGTTTCATAAATACTCTGTGACGTTTTTCTCCAGTGAGTAGATGGGAATACAGATGCCGTTCTGAGTTTTGAGAATGATCCCTCCACACTAGGCGTCATCTTAGGAGTATTTGTTGTGTCTTACTATTTATGTCGTTGTCATCTTGTATTCAAATGTGAATGCATTTCCAAGTTTCAAGTGTATTCACATAGGACTTTCTCTCCTGCCCTTACAAGGGAAAAAGACCTTGATGAAGTTCTACAGACCCACTCAGTGTTTGTAAATGTTTCTAAAGGCCAGGTTGCAAAGAAGGAAGATCTCCTCAGTGCATTTGGAACAGATGACCAAACTGAAATCTGTAAGCAGGTGGGTTCTTCCAGCAGCAGCATAACTGACCCTAATATCCATCTGTAGTGTTAAGTACTTGTAGTATGTTAAACTGTAGAGTATCTTTTTTGTAGAGAACCAGCCAGCTGCCAAAAAAAAAAAGTTTTATACATTATAGTAGGATTATTGGGGTGTTATATCTGTATGACAAAAAGAGTATTTGCTGAAAAAGAAAACATATAATGTCTTATATCTACTTAAGAAAATTTGTGTGTAGGTGTAACTATCATGTCCCAATGTGAGGCTTGGATGGTGACTTCTTCATTATCTGAAATGTAGATATTATAATGACTGTGCAGGACTTAAAAGTTTCATTGAACATGCTGCCATAAGTTAGATTATTCTTGGTAAAAAATAAAGTCGTTTACTTCTAATTCTTAAAGTTTATAATATATTAATATAGCTAAAATTATATGTAATCAATAAAACCACTCTTATTTTTATTAAACTAAAAAAAAAGTCTACTATTATTGAATTGCAATCTATTTCTTGCTTTAGGTCTAATAATGTTTTCTTTATATATCTGGGTGCTCTGGTGTTGGGTGATATATATTAACAATTGCTATATCCTCTTGATGTATTGATCCCTTTTGCATTATATAATGACTTTTGTCTCTTTTATGGTTTTTGATTTAAAGTCTATTTTATCAGATGTAAATATGGCTACTCCTGCTTGGTTTTGATTTCCATTTGCATGGAATATCTTTCTTAAGATCTTCACTTTCAGTCTATGTTTGTGTTTAATAGTTGACTTTCTAGTAGGCAGCATATGGTTGGGTCTTGCTTTTTTTTAATCCATTCAGCCACTCTATGTCTTTTAATTGGAGAGTTTAACCCATTTACATTCAAGATTATTGCTGGTATGTGGGAATTAATTCCTGCCATTTTAAAAATTGTTTTCTAGCTGTTTTGTATATCCTTAGTTCCTTAATTCCTTTTTTTTCTCTTGTTGTTTACCTCTGTGAATTGGTTTTTTTGTGGTGCAAAGTTTTTTTTTCTTTCTCTTTATCATTTGTTTATCTGCTATAATTTCCTTTTATGTGGTCACTTTAAGGCTAACATTAAAGTCTTAGATTTATAATAGACTATTTTAAGCTGAGCGCAACTTAACTTTGGTTGCACGAAAATACTCCAGGTGCTCCTCCTGCCCCACACCAACTACATTTTTGTTGCCTTACTTTACATTTGTATCTATTGTATGTTCCTTAGCCACTAATTGTAGCCGTTATTGATTTTTGACCATTTGGACTTTAAATCTTACTAGAGGATTTAAGGATTTACATAACACCATTACTTCACTTTGGTGTTCTGAATTTGAATTATGCATTTACCTCTATAGGTGAGTATTATGCTTTTTTATGTTTCATGATAGTAATTATCATCTTTTCATTTCTTAAGTAGCACTCCCTTAAGCATTTCTTGTAACAGTGGTCTAGTAGTGATGAATTCTCTCAGATTTTGCTTGTCTGGGAAAGTCTTTATTTCTTGCTCATTTTGGAAGGATGCTTTGCTGGATAAAGTATTCTTGGATGACAGTGTATTTTTAAAATTCATTTCAAGACTTTAAATATATCATCCCATTCTCTCCTGGCCTGCAAGTTTTCTGCTGAGAAATCTGCTGATGGTCTGTCTAACAAGGATTTCCTTATATGTGACTCGACACTTTTCTTTTGTAGCTTTTAGAATTGTTTGTCTGAATTTGAATGTTCATATATTTCCCAATATTTGGGAAGTTTTCAGCTATTATTTTATTAAATAGGTTTTCTGTGCCTTTCTCAATCTCTTCAATCTCTGGACCACCTTTTTTTTTTTTTGACAATGGACCTAATTATTTATTAACACCCTATTCAACTCCAGACAACAAACTAGACTCTCCCTCACCCAGCTACCATTTTCTGCCCCTACATATTCTGGTGCTGTGCCAATTATCATTCATTTTGAGGTAGAAGAATAAGAACTGTCAATTCTTTGTGTTTTAAAGTTACAGCAGGACTTTACACACAATTTTGCTGGGGAGAATCCTTATATAGAGGAAATAATCATTCCCAATAGGTGTGTGCAATACATTGGTCATAGGAGTATGCTCACATTTTCTTTAAAGAGAATCTAAACTGTATTTTAACCTCTACATGTTGCTAATTTAGCATTTTCCACCAACTCAGTGGGGAGATGCTTTCACAGACTTTACAGTCTTTTGCTTCAGTCCTGCCTTTGTAGGATTCCTGAAAGATGAGGAGCCTATCGATTTTGCTTAATCATCCTTGCTTACAGGGCAGACATGATAGATTCTCACTGAACATTTTTTTCTTATATATATTTGTGGAGTACAGAATCAAATATCAATACATGTGTACAATATCAAGTGATCAAATCAGGATAATTAGTTTACTCACATTTACAAAATGTAACTACTCTTTGTGACTCTTAACTAGTTTCTTGCCAACCCCCCTCCCCCTTCCCGTTTCCTATTCCTAATAATCACAATTCTATTCTCTATTTTGTTTTTGAAATTTTAATATATTATTCTCCTTCCTTCCTTCCTTCCTTCCTTCCTTCCTTCCTTCCTTCCTTTCCTTCCTTCCTTTTCACTCCCACTTATGAGTAAGGAAATGTAGTTTTTCTCTTTCTGTGTCTGGCTTATTTCATTTAAAATAACTTTCTCTAAGTTCATCCATGTTGCTGCAAATGGCAGAATTTCATTCATTTTATGGCAGAGTAGTATTTCATTTGAGTATATATACCACATTTTCCTTATCCAGTAATCTATCAAAGGACATTTAGGTTGATTCCAACTTTTGACTATTGTAAGCAGAGCTGCAATAAACATGGGATTGCAGGTGTTCCTTCAACACGATGATTTTCATTCCTTTGGGTATACACCCAGCAATGAGATTGCTGAGTCATATGGCAGTTCTAACCATAGCTGTTTCAGAAAACTCCATACTGTTTTCCATAATAGCTGCACTACTCTATGGTCCCAACAACAGTGTAGGAGGATTCCCCCTTCTCCACATCCTCACCAGCATTTGTTATTCTCTGTCTTTATGACAAAAGCCATTCTAACTGGGATGAGATGATATCTCAGTGTGGTTTTGATTTGCATTTTTCTGATGCTGAGTGATATTGAGCATTTTTTCATGTGTCTGTAGCCATTTGTATATCTTCATATAAGAAATATCTGTTCGGCTCCTTTGCCCATTTTTTGATTAGGTTACTTATTTTTTACTGTTGAATTATTTGAGTTCTTTGTATATTCTGGATATTAATCCCTTGTCAGATGCATTGTTTGCAAATATTTTCTCTCATTCTGTAGGTTGTCTTTTAATTCTGTTAATTGTTTCTTTTGCTGTGCAGAAACTTTTTAGTTTGATTTAATCCCATTTGTTTGTTTTTTTCTTTTGTTGCCTGTGCTTTTTGGGTGATATTCATAAAGGCTTTGCCCAGTCCTATATCATGAAGTGTTTCCTCTATGCTGTCTGTTAGGAGTTTTATATTTTCAGGTCTTATATTTAAGTCATTAATACATGTTGAGTTGATTTTGGTATATGGTGAAAGGTAAGGGTCTAGTTTCTTTTTTCAACATATGGATGTCCAGTTTTCCTAGCACCATTTATTTCTTTTTCCTAATGCATGTTCTTGTTGCCTTTGTCAATTACCAGTTGGCTGTAAGTATGTGATTTGATTTCTGGGTTCTCTACTCTGTTACATTGGTCTGGGTGTCTGTTTTTATCCTAGTACCATGCTGTTTTGGTGTCTATAGCTTTATAGTATAGTTTGAAGTCAGGTGGTATTATGCTTCCAGCTTTTATTTTTTTTTTTTTTGCTCAGGATTACTAGGCTATTTGGGGTCTTTTGTTGTTCCATATGATGGTTTTTTTTGTTTTTTGTTTTGTCAATATACAATGTGGTTGATTATTATGACCCATCACTGAAACTTCCCTCCCTACTCCTTCTCCCTCCTCCCCCCAAGAATGTGGAAGAATGTGCTTGCTGTAACACCTTCAAATGAATAGAAATGCTACCGATTTTTGTGTGTTGATTTTGTATCCTGCTAGTGTGCTGAACTCGTTTATCACCTCCTAGAGTTTTTATGTAGAGGCTTTAGGCTGTTCGATATATAGGATCATGTCATCTGCAAACAG